AATTGTTACTGAGGGACACAGAATTGTTACTGAGAGACACAGAATTGTTACTCAGGGACAGACACAGAATTGTTACTGAGGGACACAGAATTGTTACTCAGGGACACAGAATTGTTACTCAGGGACACAGAATTGTTACTCAGGGACACAGAATTGTTACTCAGGGACAGACACAGAATTGTTACTGAGGGACACAGAATTGTTACTCAGGGACACAGAATTGTTACTCAGGGACAGACACAGAATTGTTACTGAGGGACACAGAATTGTTACTGAGGGACACAGAATTGTTACTCAGGGACAGACACAGAATTGTTACTGAGGGACACTGAATTGTTACTGAGGGACACTGAATTGTTACTGAGGGACACTGAATTTTTACTCAGGGACAGACACAGAATTATTACTCAGGGACAGACACAGAATTGTTACTGAGGGACACAGAATTGTTACTGAGGGACACAGAATTGTTACTGAGGGACACAGAATTGTTACTGAGGGACACAGAATTGTTACTCAGGGACACAGAATTGTTACTCAGGGACAGACACAGAATTGTTACTGAGGGACACAGAATTGTTACTGAGGGACACAGAATTGTTACTCAGGGACAGACACAGAATTGTTACTCAGGGACAGACACAGAATTGTTACTGAGGGACACAGAATTGTTACTCAGGGACACAGAATTGTTACTCAGGGACAGACACAGAATTGTTACTCAGGGACACAGAATTGTTACTCAGGGACACAGAATCGTTACTCAGGGACAGACACAGAATTGTTACTCAGGGACAGACACAGAATTGTTACTGAGGGACACAGAATTGTTACTGAGGGACACAGAATTGTTACTTAGGGACACAGAATTGTTACTCAGGACAGACACAGAATTGTTACTGAGGGACACAGAATTGTTACTAAGGACACAGAATTGTTACTCAGTGAGGGACAGACACAGAATTGTTACTGAGGGACACAGAATTGTTACTGAGGGACACAGAAGTCTTACTGAGGGACACAGAATTGTTACTCAGGGACACAGAATTGTTACTCAGGGACAGACACAGAATTGTTACTGAGGGACACAGAATTGTTACTGAGGGACACAGAATTGTTACTCAGGGACACAGAATTGTTACTCAGGGACACAGAATTGTTACTCAGGACAGACACAGAATTGTTACTCGGGGACACAGAATTGTTACTCAGGGACACAGAATCGTTGAATTAAAGAGTATGTCAGACAACTGCAGAGGAGTGGCAGAGGAGGCAATGTTTTAGGAGCGAGCAGACGTGGCAGCAGAGGAAGGGGTCGAGGCAGCACTAGTCGCAGCCAGAGGCCAGTGCTCCCGGTGTCATTCCAGCGGTCGTGTCTCCACCGACAACCCTGCCGTCATCGATTGGTTGGCTCGGTCGTCTTCCTCTTCCCAGGTCACCTCTGTCACCTACAGCCAACGGTCGGTGGGTACGTCAGACACAACCGTTAGTTGGCATGGCCCGGGAGCAAGCCCACTGAAATCACGTGTCCTCTACCTGCCCCTGTCCTTTGGTGTTCCCTCACCAAGCGAATATCGCATGCTGTGGGCTCAGCCCCACTGTACAGTGAGGAAGAGCTAACAGAGGGCGGTCAGGAACGGGGGGAGACATCCGCCTCTTCAGCAGCCAGGCGAAGAAGTAGTGGCGAGGAGAGTGGCTCGTAGCTGGTCTAGAGACAGGTCTGTCTCCTGACCCACACGCAGCCGAGGGGGCTAGTAGTGAGGCGGAGACCCTAATTGATGATGATGAGGCTGATCGCACTTGGCAGCCTCGTCGTCATCAGGCTATTGCTTCCGCATCATCAGGAGAAGAGGGTGGCAGCTTGGCAGCGAGCAAAACAGTCGGTGGGTTGCCCAGGAGGCAGCAGGGTCGCAGCAGTGTCAGTGGAGGCAAACGGCCACGGAGTAGACCACCAGCTCCACTGCAGCCTACCACCACGGCCAGTAGTGGTGCCGGTGTGCACGGAGGAAGTAGCAGTCAGCCAGTGAGGAGTATCGGGGCAAAGTTTCCTACTCGGCGGTGTGGCAATTTTTCGTCAAGCCGCCCCCGAAGAAAAACGTAGCCGTATGTCGACTATGTGGCCAGAAAGTCAAGCGTGGCCAGGGGCCCATGTTGGGACTACAGCGTTGCGTCAGCATATGCAGCGTCGCCATTTGGTGGCCTGGGAAATCCGTGATAAAGATACGGCAGTTCTGCCTGCCCCAGCCCCCGCTCCGTTACTTGCTCCGTCACCCGACGTCAATCGCCCTCTATCAGCCAGTCAAGGCTCCAACACCTCTGCTGAGGGAGTTGTCGCTCGTTGGCATCTTCCGCTCGTTCAGATGCTCCTTCTCCTGCTACTACTCCTCTTCACGGATTCCGTCAGCAGTCTTTTTTGGAATCCGTTTCCAAGAGACAACAGTTTTGCGAGCACGCACCCGACGGTGCAAAAGCTGAACGTCCTCCTCCTGTCCAAGTTGCTGGTGCTGCAGTCCCTCCCTTTCCAAGTGGTGGACTCAGCACCTTTCCGAGAAATGATGGCTTGTGCCGAGCCGCGGTGGAGAGTGCCAAGCCGTCATTTCTTCGCCAAAAAGGCAGTGCCAGCCCTGCATTCACATGTAGAAGAAATGGTGGGCCAGTCTTTGAGCATGTCGGTCTCTGCCAAAGTGCACGGCAGCGCCGATGTGTGGAGCTGTAACTACGGTCAGGGACAGTACATGTCATTTACGGCCCACTGGGTGAACGTGGGTGCCGGCACAGCCGCACCAGCAACTTGGACAGGTCACGCCGCTTTTGCCTCCACGTTTGCACGTCCTTGGTCCACAAAAGATGTCCGCCTCTACCACCTCTTCTTCCGCCGTGTCCTCAGCCCACCCCCCCCCCGTGCCAAGTCCCATTACCGACCGGCATATCACATGTGCAGGGCACAATGGTGTCACGCTGTGCTGCACCTGGTATGCCTTGGCGAACGTAGTCACACAGGGGAGGAACTTCTGAGTGTAATGAACAGAGAAATCGACAGATGGCTGTCTCCGCGCAAACTGAAAATCGGAACCATGTTGACCGACAACGGAAAGAACATGGTGTCTGCTCTGCTTCAAGGAAGGTTGTGCCATGCGCCATGCATGGCTCACGTGTTCAATCTGGTTGTCAAGCGGTTCCAAAAATCCACCATCCCACTGCAAGACATCCTTAAAATGTCACGTAAACTGCAATTGCATGCATTTCAGCCATTCCTACACCGCAAAGCACACCCTCCTTGAGCTGCAGCGGCAGAACGGAATTCCACAGCATCGCCTGATCTGCGACGTTGCAACAAGGTGGAATTCAACCCTACACATGTTAGACCGCCTTTACGAACAGCGAAAGGCCATCACCGATTTCCTGATGTTACAAGCGGATAAAGGTACTCCCCTGTGTAACTTCGATGTCAGCCATTGGCAGCTCATGCGTGACACCTGCCGCTTGCTCGGGCCCTTTGAGGAGGCCACGCTATTCGTGAGTCGGCAGGACTATGGGATGAACGACGTCATTCCTCTGTTGCACGTCCTGGAACAAATGCTGTTAACAATGGCTGGTCAGGGTGCGGTAGACGTGGCGCACAGATCTCAACGCCACATGACCCCTGTGGGGGCAGGACAGGAAGGAAGAAGAGGCAGAGGAGGACATTTGTGCTCAGGAATTATTGAGTGAAATTTTTCCACTCAGCGGTACAGGAGTGGAGGAGCAGGAGCATTGATGAAATGGGTGGTTTTTCCACTCAGACGGACAGGCGTTTCCACTCAGGCGGACAGGAGTGGAGGAGCAGGAGCATCTGGTAGAGGAGGAGGAGGGAGACAGAGGACCCAGACGCACCGTGGCAGTATGCTGTGGAGATGGAGGCAGGGAGTCCCTCGCATTCCTTGGCACAAATGGCCCATAGCATGCTCGGTTGCTTGCGTAGCGACAGCCGAATAATAACCATCAGACAGAGGGATGACTTTTGGCTGTCCACCTTGTTGGACCCTCGCTACCGTTCAAAAATGGTGGCCTTTTTCACACCTGCTGAGAGGGAGGCCAAAATAACGTACTATAAAAACCACCTATGTAGTCAGCTGGTCTCTGCCTTTCTGCGCCAACGTCCATCCTCAGACACTGTGGGCCCTGTGCGCTCGCGTTCCGCTGCCATGGCAGCAGGGGAGGGGTGGGGTGGTAGGTAGGAGCAGTGGCAGCTCCACCAGCAGCGGCTGCCTCAGTCTGCAGTCGATGATGAGTAGCTTTCTTCACCAGCGCAGTGAGGAAACTACTAACCAGCCGCAGCAGCAGCAGCAGCAGCATCAGGTGGACCTGGAGCAGGACCTCAACAACAGGCTTGGGCCTACTTGGACAGCACCCTGCCAACCGAGGTAGACAATCCCCTTGACTACTGGGCAACGAAACTTGACCTTTGGCCCCAACTAGCTGAATTTGCCCTTGAAAGGCTGTCATGCCCGGCCAGTAGCGTGGCATCGGAGCGCGTGTTTAGTGCGGCAGGAGGTATTGTAACTCCGCGGAGGACACGACTGTCCACCCAAAGTGTGGAGAGACTCCGTTTGTGAAAATGAATCAGGCGTGGATTAGTCTGGATTTCAAACCACCAGTTCCTGACACAACTGACTAAATCCGCCATGAATCATGCCCCAAACATGTGCCACTTTCAGGTCTCCTCACACTGCTGGTGTGTTCCATTTTTTGTCATAGGGTGCTGGCAGATTACGGGCCTCCCATTGCTGCTGCCAGGCCCGTAATCTGCCATGGGCCCCTGTACCGCCTCCTCATGCTGCTGCCAGGTCCAGAGTCTCTCATGGGTCCCTGTACGGCCTCCCATTGCTGCTGTCTCCATCGCCACACTCTGCCATGTGCCACTTTCAGGTCTCCTCACACTGCTGGTGTGTTCCATTTTTTGTCATAGGGTGCTGGCAGATTACGGGCCTCCCATGCTGCTGCCAGGCCCGTAATCTGCCATGGGCCCCTGTACCGCCTCCTCATGCTGCTGCCAGGTCCAGAGTCTCTCATGGGTCCTGTACGGCCTCCCATTGCTGCTGTCTCCATCGCCACACTCTGCCATGTGCCACTTTCAGGTCTCCTCACACTGCTGGTGTGTTCCATTTTGTCATAGGGTGCTGGCAGATTACGGGCCTCCCATTGCTGCTGCCAGGCCCGTAATCTGCCATGGGCCCCTGTACCGCCTCCTCATGCTGCTGCCAGGTCCAGAGTGTCTCATGGGTCCCTGTACGGCCTCCCATTGCTGCTGTCTCCATCGCCACACTCTGCCATGTGCCACTTTCAGGTCTCCTCACACTGCTGGTGTGTTCCATTTTTTGTCATAGGGTGCTGGCAGATTACGGGCCTCCCATTGCTGCTGCCAGGCCCGTAATCTGCCATGGGCCCCCTGTACCGCCTCTCCTCATGCTGCTGCCAGGTCCAGAGTCTCTCATGGGTCCCTGTACGGCCTCCCATTGCTGCTGTCTCCATCGCCACACTCTGCCATGTGCCACTTTCAGGTCTCCTCACACTGCTGGGTGTGTTCCATTTTTTGTCATAGGGTGCTGGCAGATTACGGGCCTCCCATTGCTGCTGCCAGGCCCGTAATCTGCCATGGGCCCCTGTACCCACCTCCTCATGCTGCTGCCAGGTCCAGAGTGTCTCATGGGTCCCTGTACGGCCTCCCATTGCTGCTGTCTCCATCGCCACACTCTGCCATGTGCCACTTTCAGGTCTCCTCACACTGCTGGTGTGTTCCATTTTTTGTCATAGGGTGCTGGCAGATTACGGGCCTCCCATTGCTGCTGCCAGGCCCGTAATCTGCCATGGGCCCCTGTACCGCCTCCTCATGCTGCTGCCAGGTCCAGAGTCTCTCATGGGTCCCTGTACGGCCTCCCATTGCTGCTGTCTCCATCGCCACACTCTGCCATGTGCCACTTTCAGGTCTCCTCACACTGCTGGTGTGTTCCATTTTTTGTCATAGGGTGCTGGCAGATTACGGGCCTCCCATTGCTGCTGCCAGGCCCGTAATCTGCCATGGGCCCCTGTACCGCCTCCTCATGCTGCTGCCAGGTCCAGAGTCTCTCATGGGTCCCTGTACGGCCCTCCCATTGCTGCTGTCTCCATCGCCACACTCTGCCATGTGCCACTTTCAGGTCTCCTCACACTGCTGGTGTGTTCCATTTTTTGTCATAGGGTGCTGGCAGATTACGGGCCTCCCATTGCTGCTGCCAGGCCCGTAATCTGCCATGGGCCCCTGTACCCGCCTCCTCATGCTGCTGCCAGGTCCAGAGTCTCTCATGGGTCCCTGTACGGCCTCCCATTGCTGCTGTCTCCATCGCCACACTCTGCCATGTGCCACTTTCAGGTCTCCTCACACTGCTGGTGTGTTCCATTTTTTGTCATAGGGTGCTTGCAGATTACGGGCCTCCCATTGCTGCTGCCAGGCCCGTAATCTGCCATGGGCCCCCGTACCGACTCCTCATGCTGTGACGTTGCAACAAGGTGGAATTCAACCCTACATATGTTAGACCGCCTTTACGAACAGCGAAAGGCCATCACAGATTTCCTGATGTTACAAGCGGATAAAGGTACTCCCCTGTGTAACTTAGATGTCAGCCATTGGCAGCTCATGCGTGACACCTGCCGCTTGCTCAGGCCCTTTGAGGAGGCCACGCTATTCGTGAGTCGGCAGGACTATGGGATGAACGACGTCATTCCTCTGTTGCACGTCCTGGAACAAATGCTGTTAACAATGGCTGGTCAGGGTGCGGTAGACGTGGCGCACAGATCTCAACGCCACATGACCCCTGTGGGGGCAGGACAGGAAGAAGAGGAGGAGGTAGAGGAGGACATTGGTGCTCAGGAATTATTGAGTGAAATGGGTGGTTTTTTCCACTCAGCGGACAGGAGTGGAGGAGCAGGAGCATCTGGTAGAGGAGGAGGGAGACAGAGGACCCAGACGCACCGTGGCAGTATGCTGTGGAGATGGAGGCAGGGAGTCCCTCGCATTCCTTGGCACAAATGGCCCATAGCATGCTCGGTTGCTTGCGTAGCGACAGCCGAATAATAACCATCAGACAGAGGGATGACTTTTGGCTGTCCACCTTGTTGGACCCTCGCGCTACCGTTCAAAAAATGGTGGCCTTTTTCACACCTGCTGAGAGGGAGGCCAAAATAACGTACTATAAAAACACCTATGTAGTCAGTTGGTCTCTGCCTTTCTGCGCCAACGTCCATCCTCAGACACTGTGGGCCCTGTGCGCTCGCGTTCCGCTGCCATGGCAGCAGGGGAGGGGTGGGGTGGTAGGAGCAGTGGCAGCTCCACCAGCAGCGGCTGCCTCAGTCTGCAGTCGATGATGAGTAGCTTTCTTCACCAGCGCAGTGAGGAAACTACTAACCAGCCGCAGCAGCATCAGGTGGACCTGGAGCAGGACCTCAAAACAACAGGCTCGGGCCTACTTGGACAGCACCCTGCCAACCGAGGTAGACAATCCCCTTGACTACTGGGCAACAAAACTTGACCTTTGGCCCCAACTAGCTGAATTTGCCCTTGAAAGGCTGTCATGCCCGGCCAGTAGCGTGGCATCGGAGCGCGTGTTTAGTGCGGCAGGAGGTATTGTAACTCCGCGGAGGACACGACTGTCCACCCAAAGTGTGGAGAGACTCACGTTTGTGTGAAAATGAATCAGGCGTGGATTAGTCTGGATTTCAAACCACCAGTTCCTGACACAACTGACTAAAATCCGCCATGAATCATGCCCCAAACATGTGCCACTTTCAGGTCTCCTCACACTGCTGGTGTGTTCCATTTTTTGTCATAGGGTGCTGGCAGATTACGGGCCTCCCATTGCTGCTGCCAGGCCCGTAATCTGCCATGGGCCCCCGTACCGCCTCCTCATGCTGCTGCCAGGTCCAGAGTGTGTCATGGGTCCCTGTACGGCCTCCCATTGCTGCTGTCTCCATCGCCACACTCTGCCATGTGCCACTTTCAGGTCTCCTCCACACTGCTGGTGGGTTCATTTTTTGTCATAGGTGTGCTGTATGGCCTCCCATTGCTGCTGCCTCTACCGCCACACTGTGGCTAACCCACACTCTGGTTTTGGCCCCGTGACTGCCCAAATGAGTGAAGTGTGCAGTGATTCTAAGATCGTACGGCACTCATTCTGCATGTCATACTGACTGACAGTATTATTGCCTCTTCCCCAGCAGACTCCAATGGGCATTTAAATTTTTGTACAGTGTTCTGCACTAATATGAAAGGCTCTCTGAAGCCTAGAAACACCCTTTTATAAGTTAATTCGCAGCGAATATATTCGCATCGAATTTATTCCTCGAATTCGCCGAATCAGCCGAATCGAATTTTTGAATACTTCGCTCATCTCTAATTATTACCCACAGGAAAATGTGGGGCCATGAAAACTCATCAATGAGCTATTTTGTAAAATGAGCAATTGCAGAAGGCCACCAAATGTGTGTGTAGATGTGTGGCATCGATAAAGTCCCCTCCTTTTATTTTATTTTATTTTAAGACAGCAGTTATCCATGGGCCCAGAGGAAAAAGATCTGAATGAGATTGATATGCAATCTGAACAATGTAGCCACTTCTCAAAATTAATTTTTGGGTAAACTGCTGAGAGTCAGAGGAAAAGGCAAAAGAGTGAAGAGAACTTTGCAGAAGCCTCCCTTAGGGATGAGACTAACTCCTTGTTTCTCAGCAATGTCAAAGGTGATCATGATGACAATAAAAATGTACAGTTGAGATGGAGTGCATTTGGGTTTATTACAGTATAGCTTCCAATATGGTCACACAGCTCTTCATATAGTGCCATATGCCATCAAAAACTCTGCCATGATTGCCATTATGGATCTGTAAACTTAGAATTATATCTAATCAGTATTAATCTTTTTTTTTTTTTTTGCCAAAAAAGTATTTAACCACCGCCTATTATTGAAATAGGAAAGACATATCAAGTCATATCCCAGATACGGATCACAGTCCGCTGCATATACCATCTGGTACGTTCTCCCGTTGCCATAGACGGGTCCTCAAGATGTTCGTTTTTAAAGTCGATTCATCTTGAGGCAAAAGATCATAGTATAACAGCCTCACCCATGAATAATATAAACCAGTAGAAATAATGATTATAATAGGTAATCTAGATAAGTATGATGGACACTGATCCACTGAGTAGGGAGTTCTCAGAAACAGGACAATGAAGCGTAAGGCAGAAATATCATCTGAAGGTGTGCATGTCCTATGTGTCCGTATCCAGAAAATGTAGGCCTTCCTTTTTGTAAAGGACAATCACACCTGTATGTGAAAGGATGCTCTGTTCCTTATGGAAGATATGGTTATTTAAGGTATGAAAAAGGTGTGAAGAAAAGAAAGAAAAGAAAAGAAAAGAGAAGGGAGCGTCAAGTGGAAAGAAATGTGAAAAATTTACGTCATAGAGGGGGAGGGGAAGAAAAAAAAAAGGGGGGGGGAACTGCTGGGATACAAAACCCAATGATTAAGTAGTGGCAACTAAAACCAATCATATCATTAGATATTAGTCAAACTATCCGGAATTGTACCTTTAATTTAAGCCTCCCAGTCCGGTTAGACTCAATACATGGAGCAATTCTTGAGGTGAGAGCTTTAAAGGTTTTCCGTCACCCCCAAATCTCATCTCATTCATTGAAAGGGTGCTAAATATACGGGCCTCCCAGTTTGGAAATGCTTCCAGGCCCAAGCCCAAGTCTTCCTGAATCCCCTCGGGGTGTTCCCTTGCCACTGAAATCAGTTCCTCCATCTCCGCAGTGTCCTGATGGGACCCTAAGAAACCACTCTCGCACAGTGGAACATGTTCTGATCGCCAGTGGACAGGAATACACTGTTTTGCCACGTGTATCATATGCAAGGCAACGACTTACGATTTTTTTGTCAAGTCTGAAAAGGAAAGTGAGGAGTGGGGAGTAAAAATTGTGCTGGGGTGAAGTCTAGGGTGTACGTGGTTACTTGTGTGATTATGTCTCGCACTTTTCTCCAGAAGGGCTGTAGCAGCTGACATTGCTGCTCTCACCATATATGTAGGAGTGTACCTGTTGCCCGTGTGACATCTCCAGCACAAATCTGGAAATGTTAGGATCAAATTTTGAATCAGGGATGGCAGATTACTGGGCCATCTGGAATGTAAAATTTAGAGTTGCTTTAATTGCCAGGAGACACATATGGAACCTGCCTCCTCATGTGTTCATAAATGTGATCCCAGTCTTCTGGTGATAATGGGAGTTGAGATCGAGCAACCTTAAGCCACACAGGCCTCTGAGATTGCCAGATGTAATGGCGTTATCATGCCTGATGGAATAAAGCTTCCATTTGTAACATGTCTCTGGCAGATACGGGTAAAGCAAAGTTTCTCATATGGGGGTAAGTGGCCTGTATGGGCCCCTGTACCGCCTCCTCATGCTGCTGCCAGGTCCAGAGTCTCTCATGGGTCCACTGTACGGCGCCTCCCATTGCTGCTGTCTCCATCGCCACACTCTGCCATGTGCCACTTTCAGGTCTCCTCACACTGCTGGTGTGTTCCATTTTTTTGTCATAGGGTGCTGGCAGATTACGGGCCTCCCATTGCTGCTGCCAGGCCCGTAATCTGCCATGGGCCCCTGTACCGCCTCCTCATGCTGCTGCCAGGTCCAGAGTCTCTCATGGGTCCCTGTACGGCCTCCCCATTGCTGCTGTCTCCATCGCCACACTCTGCCATGTGCCACTTTCAGGTCTCCTCACACTGCTGGTGTGTTCCATTTTTTGTCATAGGGTGCTGGCAGATTACGGGCCTCCCATTGCTGGTGCCAGGCCCGTAATCTGCCATGGGCCCCCGTAACCGACTCCTCATGCTGTGACGTTGCAACAAGGTGGAATTCAACCCTACATATGTTAGACCGCCTTTACGAACAGCGAAAGGCCATCACAGATTTCCTGATGTTACAAGCGGATAAAGGTACTCCCTGTGTGTAACTTAGATGTCAGCCATTGGCAGCTCATGCGTGACACCTGCCGCTTGCTCAGGCCCTTTGAGGAGGCCACGCTATTCGTGAGTCGGCAGGACTATGGGATGAACGACGTCATTCCTCTGTTGCACGTCCTGGAACAAATGCTGTTAACAATGGCTGGTCAGGGTGCGGTAGACGTGGCGCACAGATCTCAACGCCACATGAC